ATTAATATTCATACACCATCTGCAGCTGCCTTGGAGAACATGGGCTCATACTGCCCCCTTGTGGCTCTTTGCTGTACTGGAAAGTCCTTTTTGTTAGGGACAGTCTCAAAATAAGGCCACCAGGGAAATATTTTGTGACCACAGTTGCCTCCAGCACCCTCCCACCACCACGACCAACATGTGCACTGAGACAGTTTTTATTTGAAACTAGTGAAGTGGAAATTCCCCTTTTGTGACCTGAACAGTACACTTTACTACGCATCCACTTTTTAAAAGGAAGTGGAATTCTGATGACAAATTCTGATACAGCCATCGAGTTTTTAGTTTTTGTGTCAGCTCTTTGACTTCATGGTAATGTGCCCTGAGATGGGCCATACGACCCACAGGCGCTGACCCATTGGAGCTGGTCAGAGGCGAGACCAGTCTCCTGACCCGCCGGTACTGGTGCTGGTCAGAGGTGAGACCAGTCTCCTGACCCGCTGGTACTGGCGCTGGTCAGAGGTGAGACCAGTCTGCTGACCCACTGGTACTGGTGCTGGTCAGAGGTGAGACCAGTCTCCTGATCCGCTGGTTCTGGCACTGGTCAGAGGTGAGACCAGTCTGCTGACCCACTGGCGCAGGTCGGAGGTGAGACCAGTCTCCTGATGCACTGGTACTGTCCCTGGTGCTGGTCAGAGGTGAGACCAGTCTCCTGATCCGCTGGTACTGGTACTGGTCAGAGGCGAGACCAGTCTCCTGACCCACTGGTACTGGCGCTGGTCAGAGGCGAGACCAGTCTCCTGATCCGCTGGTACTGGTGCTGGTCAGAGGTGAGACCAGTCTCCTGATCTGCTGGTACTGGTGCTGGTCAGAGGGGAGACCAGTCTCCTGATCCGCTGGTACTGACTCAGGCGCTGGTCAGAGGGGAGACCAGTCTCCTGATCCGCTGGTACTGGTCAGAGGCGAGACCAGTCTCCTGATCCACTGGTACTGGCGCAGAGGGGCTGCCAGTGACCAGGGCTACTAGGAAGAAGAAATAATACTTGATACCAGTGTTGAAAGATTTCATCATTTGCCGGGGAAATGGACTTGCATGCTGCCTCAGGGTGAAATACCGTCAGTCAAGCAGACATTCAAACATCTGCGCTTGTCGGAAGGCGCCATCACCAATAACGTTTGTTTCAGATTACTGCGATAAATCTGTGTTGTTTCTGTGCTGAACATACCTGCTGCATTGTTGATTCGGTATGTGGGTTTTATGGGAATGCGTACTTATGTCGGCCACAGTATTCAGAGTCACGTCTGCCCTGCACTGGATCAGCATGCTTCATGCTTCAAGTGCACTTTCTGTCATCGGGTTCTCAGAGCTTCCTGACTCCAGGCTACAGAATCCCAGGGTCAGTACTCTGTATGGGCTTTATCTGCAGTAACTCATCTCCATTACATCATCTCTGTAGTTTGGGAGGTATTGGCAGTGTAGCCACCAAAACAGGCTCTGAGGTCACCCAGAAAAACTGGTGTGCAGCTGGTCTGCGCTCTGTGTGAAGAGCACTGTGTTGTTACTGCAAGCACTGTGATTGGGAATCTGCCTGACGGCTGACTCTTTTTCTCCCCAGGAGGCTGACAGCGGTGAAGAGGAGCGGCGCTCCCAGCCCAGGAGGTCAGTTCAGAACCTCTTGTCACATTGCTTGTGTTGTTGACTGCGCTGCCTGCTTTCACTGTGCAGCCGTCTGCGCTGCCTGCTCTCTCCGCGCAGCTGACTGCGCAGCCTGTTCTTGCTCCATCTGCTGCATCGTTTGGTTGAGACTGAAAAGCAAGATCAAGGTCTGTCTCTGGGAAGTGTTCTGAATGCGACAAGTTCAAGGCGCGTTGGTGACTGCTCGGTGGGGATGCGTTAGACAGCACTGACTGGGTTCGAGGGCTTCTTGGTCTTACACTACCCCTAAGAGGGAGGGAACATGAGCCCAGGGGCGCTCGAACCCGGTCTGCGCCACTGTCAAGAGGAAACTGATGACTCACCTCAGGCTGAGGAAAGATCAAGGTCTTTATTGAACGCTGTTTGGTATAATAATCTCTAATAACGTAAGAGATTAGTAACTCTGCAGGGCTCGAAGGTTTTGCACCAGCTGTACAGGGAATCAGAGATGCTCTTTGTGTTACTAAAATATCTCTTCCAACACTCAGGACAGGGCTGTGGCCCCTCGTCGTAATTCTCAGGACACAGGATGTGTCAGTGAACTAAAACTGCAGCCCAGATCCAGCTAGTCTCCCACAGAGGGCGCTGTTGTTGACCAGATTTGGTTATTCTGATCGGGGCTGACTCGGTGCTATTCTGCTTGACCGATTGGCGGCAGTGGGGAGGGGGGGCGGTTATCCAGTTGATTTTGTGCCGGCTGTCGAGCTGGCAGGTGAAAGTGACCCGTCCATCTCCAGTGAGCAGGCTGTCCTGTAAGAGCTGACGTGTCTTCACCCTGGACAGGACGCCAGTGGATTGCTACAGAGACTAAAGAGTGGCAGATCCGGCAGCTTGTCTGTCCTTTAGACTCCTACTTAGCTAGCTCTGTGGCTTTGAATAATAATAATGTTATTATTAATAACATCTATTAATATTAATAACAACAACAATAATAAATGTTGTTATGAATACAGTATTGTTTCCCCGTCAGTATGCTGGGGCATTAGGACCCACGCAGACTGCAGGGTGAGCGCCCCCCGCTGGCCCCGCTAACACCTCTTCCAGCAGAAATCTTAGTTTTTCCCAGGAGGTCTCCCATCCAGGTACTGTCCAGGCTCACACCTGCTGAGCATCAAGGGGCTGCCAGTTGTGAGTTGCAGCATGATATGGCTGCTGCCTAAAGGAGGCCTCCTTAGGGTAAGATGATTTCAGTTTTGTTGATCACTGATTCCCCAGCACCATGTTGGTCTTTTCATCTCTCTGCCCTGAGTGGCCTGCAGGAGGGCGCTAGTGAGCCTGTACCCACCCCCCTCCTTGTCCTGAAGCTTTGTCTTTGCACACTGCAGGTGTGTGGCCTGCCCTGGGTGCTCGTGATTTCGCCCACTGTGGCCGTGGAGGAATGCTTGTGATCAGCCGAGTGGGGTTGAGCAGTTCCACGGAAAGGCACTGTGGATTTTCCCTGTATTTTTCCCCCGATGTGATCCTCCAGTGCAGTTGACCACACTGACGGGACTGCTCTGGTGAGGGCACAATGGAAATATTCACGACTGTGGATGCCTCGTGCGAC